TATATATATATATATATATATATATATATATATATATATATATATATGGGGACATGTTAATACATTTTGAGCTGTTGTATCATCGTAATTAAATAATTATGATTGTCCTTAAAATCATAGCATTCAAAGTAAACAAAAGGATTTTATAATATGCATAATTTTAATAACAGCATTATATTTGAAGGATTGAACAAATATTGCTACAGTTATGAATCTGCTAACTTATTACATGGTTTGTTCATTGAATATACATACACACAGTGTGTGTGTGTGTTTGTGTGTGTGTGTGTGTGTGTGTAGAATGCATTGCAAGTCAAGATGGGAACTGACTAGGGTGTGAGTGGCTGTGAGCAAAAACTGTTGGTTCAGAAGACCAAGAGTGGAGATAGCAATTCTCCATGGTTCAAAATATTCTAAAATCTAAGGTGAGGGTGCCATCTACTGATGAATGGAAAATATACCATACCCCTACAAGCCTGGGAAAATTCTGATAAGAGAAATAAACAAAATTCATCTGGAGGACTACAGTGATACCTACTGTTCTATAATTATCTACTTTATGATTACTAGAGACTCAAGTGTGAGAATAAGGAAGATTCTTAAGTAAAGTGACTTTTGACTTTTGGAAAGCTTCCTGATTACCTAAATGGAACTGATTGAATAATCCTGGGATATAAAGAACTATGATTATTATACTCTCAGAGGAGCAATATTAGGCTTGAATATATTGTTTTTGGACTATTGAGTAAGAGTGGGACCTACTTAAATAAGACAAGATACTCCACCAGGGGGAAATGAGTGAAATTTCAAAAGAAATGGCGTTGATGTTCCAAAGCATTAAGGATAGTATGACAAAGAGAAGAAAAAGAAGAAAAAGAAGGAGGAAAAGAACCTATTGCAAGGCATAAATGGTAAAATAGAAAATACCCTACAACTGATAATGAATGAAGATCAAAAAGGAAAGAGAAGAGACAACAGAAAGAATGGAGAAAAAGATAGAACAGACAAATCAGCAAATAAAGCAAGAAGATGAGAAGGAGAAGACAATGAAGATAATAATAACTGATGAAATATACCAAGGGGAAAGTACTTTAAGAGATTTAAAAATGGAATCAGATAAGCAGGAAGATATTTTTGAAAGGGAGATAGGGGCTTGGGCAGAGACTCTGGAGGTCTGGCAGCATAGGAGGATAGAGATGGGAGAAATACTTGGACTGAGTAGTGAAGACATAAATGTAGATAGAGACAAAGATCCAAGAGAGGAGTATGGGAGGCAAGCTAAAAAAACGAATAAGAATTGAGATATTAAGATGGACAAAAGATAATAGATAGAAAGGAAATATTTTTTCGTCTTCTTTTTAATATAATGATGGCCTGAACTAGAATAGAAGTAGGAATAATACACACTTTTTTTATAAAGCAATAGTTAGATGGAAAGATTAGAGGTCGACGGATGGTATGTTTAAATTAGTGGTCAAAAGTCATATGTTTAAATTGGTACTAGAATGGCATATTGAAATATTAAATTACTAAATAATGAAGGACTAAATCTTAATATAAAATGTGTATTAACACTAGGATTAGTAATGGTGGCCTGACTAGAAGCTAGAATAGAGGTAGAAATAAGAAATAGGAAGAATATTAGCATACATATTTTTATATAATAGAATAAAAGCAATAACTAGATGAAAAGATTAGAGGTTGAAAGATGGTATTACTATGTATGCTCAATTATTATGATAGGCATTAAAATGGAACATTGAAATGTTGAATAACTACTTTAAAACAAACATGTATATTAAGTTTATATTAATACATAAGTTTGACTAACAAATATTACTAATATTATTATTTTTATTTGTATCAAAATGAATGATACCCAGATACCACACTGTTCATGTATTGATGTTGATATATATTTAAAAATAAAGTGAAAATAAAAAAAAAAACCCAAACCCAGAGACATTCCATCTTGCCAGGGTTCTGTTTCAATCCGTTTCTCCCCATCCAGCCCTTAACAGCCTCAAGCACTGTTAGAGGGAGATCATGGCATTGTTTAACTCACCATGGGCCAAGATATATAACTATATGTGTGTGTGATGGGAGGTGTTTATAGACAGAGAGAGAGAGAGTCGGGGGCGGGCGAGAGAACGAGAACAGAAATGGAATCATAATTCACAAGTCAGGGATATTTTGCTTCTATAATGTTTCAAAACTTTGACATTCAACTGAATTTCAGTGAGTTATAATTCAGATGTTAGAACTAGTATTGCTTTAATATTTGTCCAGATTTTTTGTAATATTTTAAGGGTAGGGAGGAAATCTTCAAAAGTGTATTAATGTCTGTCTTTCTCCTTTTTCATGAAGATGGGCTTATTCTACCTGGAAAAAATGTGATTGTCTTTAAAGACAAGATTATCAAGAGTTTTCTTCCACCTCCCCACTTTTTTAATGAACATTTTGCCACTCTTCAAATTAAAACTTAGTTATTCCATGAAGTATTTTGAGAGTGAAGTGATATAAACCAATCTATGAATATTTCAGCTTTTGCTGAATATGACACCTGTTCATTATCTTTGTTCTTCTCTTACATTTCCTTGTTTTTGGGGGGGTGGGGGATAAAAGAATGTATAATTATACATTTTCTTTTCCATTTATTTTACTTGGTGTCATCAGGTACAGATAAAGAATTAATTATTTAAAAAAAACTGGTATTTTCAGGATCCATATTATGAAATAGATATAGTGCTATGTGGAAATGATCTCAGAAGACAGAAGGAAGAGGTATAGCCTAGACATCAGCCTAATTAATGGAATTGGTTCCAAAATAAGAGAGGGATAAAATTATTGCAGAAGTGACCCTTCATAGTTTTAGAAGAAAGTAAAAGTGAAGGATGGAATGAAGGTTACTTTCAGACTTTCAAGATTCTGGTTGTACTTCTTGTCTGAACTATCTCAGAAATACAATAATAGCTAAGCATCATTATCGTGACTAGTTTGAATTTTATGAGCAAAGAAAATACTTATGCATTTTAATACTGTGCTAAAACAGGTAATTTTACCCCATGATCAATAAACAGCAACCAAATTCTTAGATATTTTGAACAACCATATTTACAATATTTTTATTTAAAATGCTATTTTATTATCAGAGTGAAAGAGCGTGAAGCTGCAGCTGTAATTGTTGGCAAACTCAGAGGTGGTATTTAGCAGATTCTGACCAATTCTGGAGAACCAGTAACAGAAATTTTGAGTAGTTCGGAGAACCAGCAAATGCCACCTCTGATTGGCCCTGCCCCTATCTATTCTCTGCCTCCTGAGTCCCAGCTGATCGGCTGGGTCTTCTTTGGTTGCCCTGCATAGGAGAACGGAGCTGGAAAGCAGGTTAGTGGTATGGGGAGGGAATGGGGATTTTGCCGTAACCTTCCCCCAGGAGTACGGAGGGAATGGGGATTTTACAATATCCTTCCCCTGCCATGCCCAAGCCATGCCCACAGAACCAGTAGTAAAAAAAAATGAATCCCACCACAGGGCAAATTGCAGCTTTAATTACTACCACATATCAATTACTCCCTGTGTCTAGTGCACACTTACTGTATTACTGTACATAGTTTTGTCCCAAATAGATCTTCATGGAAATTAACTACATATTATATTTAAATTAGATTTTCTATTGAAGATTTTCTTCATCAACTGCATACATTAATGCTTGCCAATAAAGTCTAGAGTGATAAAAAATAAAGTGTTTTAAAAGGCAAGTAAAATAAAGTGCTTAAATGTATTTCATTAAAACTTGTGCCATCTGCAATATATTACACTTACAATTTTTAAACTTTTTAAAAATATGTATTTACAAATACTCATTATCTCTACTTCTAAAAATAGGGCCATTTTCTCTCAATAGCTTTCTTAATTATTTGGACTCCAGAAGATTGCACATTAACTGTAGTTATGCTAGAATTTCTAGATTCTTTTGCACATTCCCTATTATATATTATAACACCTTAGATCAGGGGTGGGATTCTACAGGTTCGCACCTATTTGCTAGAACTGGTTGTTAACATTCTAAGCAGTTTGGAGAACCGGCTGTTAGAAGAAATTACTGGCCTAATCCTGTAAAGAAGGCAGGAAGGAAACATTCTGGTGTTGCTTACAGAAACTGCCTCTCCGTTAACCCTTATTACATTCTTGGCAGGACTAGACTTCCTGTCTCAGGAACATCTCTGGAGTTTTTTTTCCCTTCCTTTGCTGGTACTTTGCTTGCATGGAGTGACCATTCAAACTTACAATGGCACTGAAAAAAGTGATTATGACCATTTTTCACACTTATGACTGTTGCAGCATCCCCACAGTTATGAGAGGCCAGGCGAGGAGATGTGTGCCTCGGTGTGAGTGATATTGAGTTGGCCACACCCAGACAATAACATGACCACCAAGCCATTCCCACCCAGTCACATGACCACCAAGCCACACCCACCACCTAAGCCACGCCCACAGAACCAGTTGTGAAAAAAATTGAATCCCGGCTTCTGGTTTGAACTTCTTCGGCGACAGACAGAAACCTGCGATCGTGTGTGGTTTCGGTCTGGGCTCGTCGCTGGAGTGCCCCAAGCCGGCTGGTTTCGGGGCTAAGCCACCCCATAGAGGTGGTGAAGAGGGAGGAGACTGCCAGCAGGGTTGAGGAGAGCCGCATCTCTCCTCCTCAGCTGGCCATTACTCCCTTTCTCGAAGGTGGTTGCAGCGGTGGTCAGAAATGGACACCTCAAAGAAGAACTTGACTGGGAAAGAATGTGCAGGAGGAAGATAAGAAGTGAAAGTTTTGGCTGACCGGGTTAAATTGCAAAAGCAACAACTAAGGTACCCTGGAATTTAAACTAAAAAAACAAATAACATCGTTCCCAAAGAAGATTCTGAAGCAGCGAAGGAAAGTGAAAAGGGAAAGGTTTGGCTTTTTTTCCCCCTTCTCTCTCCTTCCCTATACTGACAACTAAGAGACTTAAATAAGAAATTGTAAAAAAAAATCCACTTTGACATTAACAGGCAATTAAGCTGAAAATAAAACAAAATGTCAAAGGGATAATAAAGATTTCTGGACACTAATATTTTTCATAAGCAGGAAAGGAGAGAAAAAGAATAAAAGGGCAGGATCTGGAAAAAAGGGAGGAGACTGCCTGGAATTAAAAGGAATCTACAGTAAAACTTCAACAAGACTTCTAAAAGATACATTTTAACTGAAACTTGGCAACTAAATAGTAGAATTCCAGGAAGAAAAGCTGGAAAAAAAAAGCAAAAAGAAAGCTTGCTTGTATTTGGATTACTTGATGATCTTTGGATTCTTGGTTATTGCATTTGAATGACTAAAATTAATTGGGTGATTGTTTAAAAATTTATACAATGGCACTACTTCTGGATGAACTGAAAATGGAACTTAAAAAGTACAAAGAAGATGCACAAGGAGGGAGGGGTTCTTTTGGCTTCATTTTTTAATTCTTAGAAATGGAGATTTGGAACTATGAGAAACAACAAGAAACGTCTGCAAAACAAGAAGACTGGGACAAAGAAGAAGCCATCTTTAATGAACAAGTAATTCTATGTGGGGAAGAAAAAGGAAACGGGGTGGGGGGGAGAGAATGGAGAATTTAAGACTTAAAAAAACAAGCAAAGCAAAGAAAAATAATTCGAAAAATAAGTATAATACTGGAAAGCAACAGAAAAGGGGATTACAGAAGAGAGAAATAGAGGTAGAGAGACAAGGGGGCAAAAAGAGGAGAGAAGAAGAGAGGGAAGAAGGAAAGGAAAAGAAGTTATAAAGGAAAGAAACAAGATGTAGAGAAACAGGGCCTATTTAGAGATAATGGGTGAAAATTTAACTGAAAAAGGGATTCTGTAAAGGTACATAAGATTGTATTGTTATATTAGTAATAGAAATAATTTTAGAAAATTGGAAACAATGTATGATTAAAATGAGGGATAAAATAGTTACTGTAATCTAGTGAAATGTTTGTTAATAAAATAAATGAAATAAAATAAATAAGAAAATTGAATTAGGAAGGGACGGGAACATTTAATTAGTTAATGTTTTATAAAATATAAGTGAAGAGGGGGGGAATTAATTGTGGAAAGCTTATAACTGTTCCCATAGAAGTATGATATTTAATTGAAAAGTAATGTTAAAGAAGTTAAGATTTTAATGAATATTAACATTAATGATAGAATTGAATTGGAATGGAATGTGTTGTTTTAATTACATATATTTATAATCTTTTTTAAAAAGAATATAGTGTGTATTTTAAGAATGTACCAAGCAGAATCCAAATGGAAGTTATGTATTATATTGAATGTTATAACTTTAAGGTATATATTGAAGCTTAAATAAGAGTTAAATGGATAAAATTAAAAGATATAAAGGTGTCATACTCCAATCAGCAACGACAGGAGAAACTTTGTTTAATGAGAAAAGATAATATGAAATTGATACAGGACAGACAAAAAGTATAAATATAATGATTTGAATTGAGACGAGATAATTAAAATAAAATTGAGAAAATCAAAAGAGGGGAGAAGCTATGTAGAAAATGTAAAACAGTAATAAGATATGGAATAGAACATAAAAATGAGCATGAAATTGAATTTGTGTCTGTACGAAGAAATGTAACCCGGGATTACGCTACTTTCAAAAACGATGTTTTATTTGTATTTTTTTGGTGAAAACTCAAATAAAATTTACAAAAAAAAAATGGAATCCCACCCCTGCCTTAGATACTACACCCCACAAACTTTTTTTTTCTTTTTCTTATTCTATTCCTTTAGCTGTTATATCTAGTTCTTTAGTTAATTAGGAATTATGAAAAATATTAATTCCATCTCTTCTTAAAATTACTTTGTAAATCATAACATATTTTGATTTATTGTGCTAATTTGGTGGAATTCAAGACTTTTTTAGAAAATAAATTAGATAATGACTTAAAGGTAAATTTATATACCAGCATCATTTGTGTTGCTTCTTAGTTTAAGCAATTACTTCTTATAGATGATTTAATTGAAACAGGACTTTTTAAAAAATACAATAAGCAGTTCAGATCTGACTTTCACATGGAATGTGGTGGCTGCTGCTGTGATCTCTTTGAGATAATTTTCTAAGCTGCATAAGTAATAAAAATAATTTCACAAATATAAGTGCTGTGGATATTTGTTCTTCCATTTTAATCGATTACTGTTTTTATTAATTACTAATACTTAATATCTAATATTAATCAATAATTCCAGTCATTCTGACATTACTTATTAAAATTACTAAAATATTATTTTATATACTGTGTAAATTGTATATTTTTTATAAACTGTATAAATACACATATATACATACACACACATATACATATATAAAAAGTGTTACAAGGGATGAAGGAAATTGCTTCTATGACTAGTCACAGAATAAAAATTAGTGAGTGGGCTACTGTAACTTAAATCTCTGTCTAGGAAATAAGACAGAGACAATTGTTCTAATTGGCGACATTATTCCAATCTGTGTTAACAGCAGGATATTCAGCAGTGTTCGTTCAACTGGCCTTGTTATTTTATCCACAGATATTGATGAATGTGCTGAAGGGAGGCATTACTGTCAGGAAAATACCATGTGTATCAACACACCAGGATCATTTATATGTGTCTGCAAAACAGGTTACATCAGAATTGATGACTATTCTTGTACAGGTAAGAATAGATTCTTAACATAAGCAGGTGCCCATTACTTCAATTTTTTTTAAAGATTATTCACTTTTATAAGTCATTAGCAGATATAAAAATATGTTACTCTGTTTCTTTCATACAATGAGAGTCATATAATTACCAGAATTTTTTATGACATCTGTCTTGGTTAATTCTAATGTATTCTTACTGTTTTCCTCTTGTTAAAAAGGGAAGGCTTGATTTTTGTACTAACATAGAATGTATATGAATAAATGTAATGTAAGAAGTGAGGTGTAAGGAGATTAACCTCCCCTTCCTTCTTTCCAATTTTAAGCTCCTACCATCCTGCCCACTTTATGGTGTAGAGCAGGGGTGTCAAAATTTCACCGAGATCAGCATTATGGTTGCCCTCAAAGAGCCATTAGCCAGGTCACCACAACTAGATGGGCATGGCTGGGTGGGTGTGGCTGGTCGGCCATTGCTGACTTCATGCCACTCACTGGGTGTGATGACTCAGGATGGCTGGGTCAGGATGAAACGAATTACACTCGCTAATTTGACGTGGTGACTATTCAGTGCACAAACTCTTCACCTCCCCAAACTGCTGGAAGCCAAGTGTGTGAGCATGCATGTGCGTGCACGCGCATGCGCGCGCGCGCGCACACACACATGCATTCCAAGTTTGGGGACTTTTATCCACAGAGGAATGAGAAGGTGTTCTCCCCAAGCCCAGGCATGATTGGCAGTTTGTAAGCTCAGATGTAGATAAAAGTCTCCAAGCTTGCAATGGTGTGTGTGTGTGTGTGTGTGTGCATGTATACGTGTGCATGCATGTGTGTGTGCGTGTGTATGCAGAGCATGCCAAAGGAGATGTTCTTCTCCCAATCCCAGACATTGTTGCCATTTCCCTGTCTGGTGCTCCCTCCCAGCAAAGCAGGAGTCAGAGGACGCTGCTGCTGTGTGTGTAAGCATGGAGGAGAAAGTTTGCAGGAAGCAGACTGGTGGAGACCAAGATGAGTAGACAGGGGAGCAGTGTTCGCTCGTCCTGAACAAGTGACGCTGGCCCTTCTCAAAAGGGAATCCCTGTTTTCAATTACGTGTGGTAAGGATTCTGGCTTGTTGGAGCAGCCTTCCCTCATGCAGCTGTCTCACCACCCCTCCTCTCCATCTGTCAAGGCAAGTTGGACTTGGAGCAAGCATTCACATATTTGCATTTGTATGTGCAGGCAAACTTTTCGATAAACGCTTCTTCCAAGTGAGCCCTTCTTATTCCCATCTCCTTCCTTCCTTCCTTCCTTCCTTCCTTCCTTCCTTCCTTCCTTCCTTCCTTCCTTCCTTCCCATCCCTCCCTCCCTCCCTCCCTCCCTTCCTTCCTCCCTTCCTTCCTTCCCATCCCTTCCTTCCTTCCTTCCCATCCCATCCCATCCCACCTCACCTCACCTCCCCTTACCCCTTCTTATTCCCATCTCCTTCTTTCCTCCCTCTCTCCGCACTCAGGAAGGGATGAGGAGGAGAAGAGATCAGCAGCACAGCCAGTGGCCATGCTGCAGGTGGTTGTGGCTTTCCCACATGGAGTTGGCGTGGTCTCAGTGAAAGGGAAGTGCTTGTGTGCTGTGAGCCAGGCCAGCAAGCCAGCCAGGCCAGCAAGTGGACTATGGATATGCTGGTGTCTGGCACAGCGCTGATGTACAACTTGTGGTGGCTGTCTGGGCTGAAATGCAGTCAGCCTTAGATCTGATTTCTGGGAACTGGCATCCTGGGTGAAAGGGAAGCACTCAGAATGCATTCTGCCTGCTCGGCAAGATGATCACTAGGAATATCAGACCCCATATGCTCACTGCCTCCTGTGCTCCTTGCTGGTTCCAGGGCAGCCCTGCAGATCTATGGCTAAATGCATTCTAACCCAGATAACCATCATCAAGTTGTAGATCACCAAGCCATCACCAAGTTGTAGAGTCAGAAAGAGACTATCCAATTCGTGGTGGCCCAAAAATGGTGGAAGTCATGATATTGGGTTGGCATGGCTTAAGAAATGAAGCCAAACAATATATTGGCGAAAGGATGGGGTGCTGAATGATGACCCTGGAGAACCCAAAACATAGAGAAGAAGCATAGTGAGCTCCAGTCACAATCAGGAGGAAAGAAAGGGCCAGAGTACATGAGAATGGCTACTGAATAGGCACTCCAGGAGCCCACCATCCTCAAGGAGTATAGAGACCTAGCTGAAGCATTTAGCGAGAAGGAGTCTGACATCCTGCCTCACCATCATCCTAAGGACTATGCAATTGATATCTTACCAGGGGTGATGCTCTCTAAGCCTAAGATGTACATAATGGCCCCCAATGAGGTGTGAAGCTAAGAGACTTTGTAAATAAATATTAGCCAGGTGCTTCATCAAGTTGGCAAAATCCCAAGTGGCAGCCCCCATGCTGTTTAAAGAGAAAAAAGATGGGTTGTTGAGGTTGTGTGTGGATTTCCGCAGGATCAAAGGGGTCTGTGTGGAAAACATGTACCCGCTCCTTCACATGAAAGACATGTTGGGACACTTGTCAAAAGGAAATGTGTTTACTAAGCTGGACTGAGGGAGACATTCTACCATATGAGAATTAAAGAAGGAGATGAGTGGAAGACCACATTTAACTGCCCTTGGAATGCTACTAATTTAGAGTGATGCCTTTTGGGCTGCAAGGAGCACTAGCCGTGTTCATACAACTGATAAATGAAATGTTGCATGAGCGTTTGTACAAGGGGCTCCTTGTGTACCTGAATGATATTCTCATCTACTCTGAGACAATGGAGAAACTGATGTGCCAGGTGCTTAGAAAACTCCTGGATGCTAAGCTGTATGCCAAACTGTCAAAATGCAAGTTTCATAAAACCAGTCTTGACTACTTAGGATACCAGGTGTCATGTGAGGGAATAGAGATGGACTCAGAGAAGGTGAAAGCCATTTTGGAGTGTCAAGCCTCCCGAGCCCCAAAGCTGCAGAGTTTCTTAGGTTTTTAAGGCAGTTTATTCCCTCATTTGCTCAGATTGCCTTGCCAATCACAGAGTTGCTCAAGACAGGTGGAGGTGGAGTGAAGCCCAAACCCAACCAGCTGCTAAACTGGGTTATGGAATGCCAGGTAGTGTTCAAGAGACTCAAACAGCTAGTCCTCAAACACCCAAACCCAGACAAATCATTCGTAATACAGGCAGATACAAACAGTGTGGCAGTGGTGGCAGTCCTGCTCCAGAAGAATGTAGGGGGGAAGTTGCAACCCTGTGCTTACACATCTAACAGTTTGTCCCACAAACTAAATGAGACTAAGAGATTCTGGGAAGGGTGGAAAAAGAGTTTTTGTGGTTTGTTGGGCCCTGCTAACATGGAGGCAGTTCCTAGAAGGCAACAAGGTCCCCATTGAAGTATGGACAGAGCACAAAAACCTGGAGTATCTGATGACATACACACCCCAGAAACTTTCCCTGAAGCAAGTGCTTTGGGCCCAATACTTCAACTGATTTGACTTCAGACTGAAGTATATTCTGTGAAAAAGAACTTCTTAGCAGATGCACTTTCTCAGATACCCAGTAGAAGAGCATCCAGGAAGAGATAGTTAATTCTATTATACCCTTTTAGCAGCTAGTGAACCAAGTCTCTACAAGACAGCAGATGCGAGGGACCCTACTGATGCCCAGTGATGCCCTAGAGCAACAGTTGAAAGAAGCATTGCAAAAAGATGTGTGGTTCAGGACCCATTGGGAACATGGACAATATCAATCTTCCAACCAATGGATTCAATAAAAGGAGGCATCTTCAGGAATTTTAAAATCCCAAAAGCAAACCTATTGAGTCCATCATTTCAGCACTGAAAAAAGCAAAACCAACTCTTAAGTTTTCCCGCACAGTTAAAAATGAATTTTATCCCCTCCTTCCATGGAACTGGTCACATTGTCCAATTAGGAATCAGTCTTTTGTTTTGATAACAGTCCACATCTTGGCAGACACCTGAAAAAGTGTCCTTTGTTCTCATGGTTGAAGATTGTAGCCTCCGCATTCCATCTCACCCTTCCCTTCCCCCAGTTCTTTGGCAAGTTGGAAAGCAATAATAGTCACAGGAAGCTTAAGTGTTTTTCAATCTTGACAATTTTGTTTGTTTGTTTTGTTGCCTAGATCTGGCAGTGCCCTCATAAAGCAAAATGGTAAATCATAAAAAGAAAGAAAAAAAACATCCTATTCATATTGTAGATTGTTTAAATGCATTAAGGTTTTAAAATTATTGTAAAGCAATTAATTTCAAATCTCTTCAATATTTTCACCTCATTATTAAAGATCAACTGTTTCTGCTGCTAAGCTTTGAATAGTATAAACCTATGGTGGTGAACCTATGGTACGCATGCCACAGGTGGCATGCAGACCCCTCTCTGTGGGTATGTGTGCTGTCACCCCAGCTCAGCTCCACCGTGCATGTGCACCGTGCATGCCTCCCATTGGCCAGCTAGTCTTTGGACCTCTGGAGCATGCATGCAGGGTGCGTGTGCATGCATGGGACATGAATGCACACTGCATTTTGGGTATGCATGTCTGCACCTTTGGCATTTGGTGCCAAAAAGGTTGGCCATCACTGCTATAAACCATTGAGGGACATATTCCAAAGTTAATTTTCATTCATGGATGTCAAGTGATTTTTTTCCTATATTTTTGGGGACTTCAAATTTCTTATGAGATCTTCTAAAATACATACCCACCACTATCATAGTGTAGCATTTTGAGGAAAACACTTGTAGAGGCAGTCAAGCAATTTTTGGATGAAACATGCCTGATGTAACTGATCTTCCTTTTGAGGAGTGTCTGATAGGTTTTCCAGGATTTCCTCAATCATATTTTGAAAGTAACAATCTCAAGCATCGAAGTAGAGGCATAAAATGAGCTGTCCTGATATATTTAAGCTGTCTAAAATTATATATATTTAATATTTTTAAAAAGAATATCTAATTAGCAACTAACTAGGTGTAACCAGTCCAAATTGGTTTTCAGTTCTAAATTGGTCAAGTACTCTTTAACCAGCTGAGACACAAAAAGTACATGTATTCTTTGACTTACAATAGTTAATTTAGTTACTATTTGAAGTTACAACAGCACTGAAAAAAGTGACTTATGACCATTTTTTACACTTATGATTATTGCAATACCATGATCACCTGATCAAAATTCAAATACTTGGCAATGGATTCACATTTATGACAGTTGCAATGTTTTGGATTCATGTGAACTTCTGACAAGCAAAGTCAATGGGGAAACCAGATTCACTTAACAACCACATTACTAACAACTGCTGTGATTCACTTAACAACCAGAGCAAGAAATGTCATAAAGGGGGGCAAAATCCACTTAACAAATGTTTCACTTAGCAACAGAAATATTGGGCTCAATTGTGGTTGTAAGTTGAGGACTATCTGTACCCTTAATGCAGAAAGAAATTCTAGTGATCTGCTGGAAGTTTCCGTATAACATAGAGGGAACAGGAGAGTAATCAATCTCGGCTATTAGAGAATGGTGTTTTGGGAAGCCACTTGGTGTTAGTTGGTAGGAATAGTGTTTTTATTTTTTAAAAAAATATACTGTCAGTGTTCCAGAAAAACAAACTCCAACACCAAAACTCTGAGACAGGCATTTTCTCAAAGTTCCATTTTATTCGAATTGTCATACTGGCACATCTGGGAAAGCCTGAATCTGAAAGTTCCAGGTTTTCCCTCAATAATTGAAATTCAAAACCCCATCCCCTGCACCCCTCAGTCCACCACATGGCCCAAACACCATATGTCCCAACTTGAGACATTCTTCTAACCACTCCTCAACAAGGTGCAGAATAACATGACCTTGACAGAAAAGAAGAATGCTATTATGTCTAACTACATCCACCCTATGAAATCCCCCCTCCCAGTTTCCCAGACACAGGAATGTGGCAGCATGGAAGCTTCTGGTACTAATATGGTTTCCAAGGCTGACATATACATTATATTTGTATTGTAGTTTGCATTGTATTTTATTTTCAGTTCTGTTACCCAACTGATGAGATGGATTGATATAAGATTATACCAATCGATCAATCAATAAATCAATTGTATTAAAATTCAGAAGTTTTTGGGTTCTTCTTTGTGATGTTGCATGATCCAAAGTATTTTAGGAAGTATGGTGTAATTAATAATAATAGAAAAAGGAAAGATGTAAAAGTAATCTATACTTTTACTATTATTTGTATCTCTCAAGATAAGGTAAGGTAGGGTAGGGTAGGGTGGGATGAGATGAGAGAGACAAGATGAGTTAACACAAGATAAGATAACCTTTATTGTTACTTACATCACATTATATTGATACAACAGATTTCTTCTAAGTTATCTTTACTCAAGTCCTACTAAATCCAATAAGACATAGTAAGTACCACTGTTTCTGCAGAGTTTAACTCAATATATTAATATGTTTATTTACAGACCAATTACAAGGAGAAAAATGCAGGCAGAAATGAATATATCAAGATATGTTACAATATTAAATGCTACATGGTTTTCTTTTTTTAACCTTTAGAGCATGATGAATGCCTCACCAACAAACAGAACTGTGATGAAAATGCACTGTGTTTCAATACTGTAGGAGGACATAACTGTATTTGCAAACCAGGTTATACTGGAAATGGCACCATATGCAAAGGTAAGATATGACAACATGATTCAGATTTCAAATCCCTTTGTTTCTCTAACCTTTGCATTCCAACATCCATTGTTAGTACCATTTCCTTTCTTGATGTTGCAATTAGCACCAGATATTTATTTTTCACACCTTATGTGCTAAACTTGCTTTTGCACCTGAAAGATTAATGTGATTGCAGTTCTGAAAAATCCAAAAGGTATGTAAGTTTGATTATTTGGATATGTCAGCAAAATAATGATACATTATTATGTGAAATCATCCAAGGTCAAAAAGGTTATAGAGAGTGATAGAAGATGACTGTGGCAGATATGCAGCCTTGTCACCAAAGCAAAAAGGGATAAAATACATCTGAAGCCATGTGGAGGGGGGTTGGTTCAGTATAAATTTGCAGGATTCTTTTAGGAGTTTATAATATTTACTGTGTGTTCAAATTAAACTTAAATAATTTTTATTCAGATATTTAGAAAATATCCTTCTCTCCCACTTGAAATAGAATTGAAAATCTTATAATTTTTCCTCTTATAATTTTCTTCAATGGTTTCAGCCTTTTGCAAGGATGGTTGTAGAAATGGTGGAGTTTGCATTGCCTCCAATGTCTGTGCCTGTCCACAAGGATTTACAGGCTCAAGCTGTGAATCTGGTAAGAGATCCTTTACTATATTACCAAGCACATAACTGAAGTTTTGTGTATAACAAAAAATAAGAATATCTTCTTGAACACGATGGTTTATGTTGAATGAGACAAGAATTGCCAGGACCTCTATGAACCCCAAGCTTACTCTATGAAAATTGAGCAAAAAAAGAGTTTATTTTTGGCAACATTTTTTTAGTCTCAGAGTGGTAAGTTTACCGCTAAGATCTGGAGGGAGATTTAAAGCTCTATTGGGTCATCCCAAGGATTATCCTCAGCGTTCCATCCAGCATGCAATGGAGCAGCAGAGAGAGCGAACGCCATGGTGGAACAATAGATTAGATGCTATGTAAATTATCAACAAGAAAACTGGGCGGAGTTATTACCATTTGCAGAGGTTGCTTATAATAATGCAGTACATAGCAGTACAGGGTTGACTCCATTGCAAATCAATACTGGCATGGAATTTGTCCTTATGCCAGAATTACCTGGAGAATCCCCACATCCATGTCTGTAACAGAATGGATGAACCCATTAAAAAGGGGTTGGGAGGATACGAAAAAAGCTTTGACTGAGGCTGCTAAAGAATACAAAAAGCAGGCAGACAAACATAGATCCCTCCAACCATTGTTTAAAGTAGGAGACAAAGTATTTTTGTCAATGAAATATCTCAGATTGAAACTTCCTAGTAAGAAGTTGAGCCCTAAGTTCTTAGGTCTATTCCCAATATCAAAGGTAATCAATCCAGTCACAGTCCAATTAAGTCTTCCCTGGTTATTGGGAAAAATACACCCAGTGTTTCATAGTAGTTTATTAAAACCAGCTGTTACATCAATTATAAGACCAATACCAACAGCTCCCCCTAAATTATGAAATTATGAAATCAAAATTATGAACACATTATGAAATCAGGAAAATCCTTGATTCTAGGTTACATCAAGGAAGATTACAATAATTGGTATTGTGGAAGGGTTACCCTGAATCAGATGCTACTTGGGTAAAAAGTCAGGATGTACATGCAGATAGGTTAGTTAACCAATTCCATGAAGAATTTCCCAACAAGCCAAAGGGTCCTCTTGGAGGGGGCAGAGGGGATTTAGGACTTCGCATTAACCCCTGGTTGTGTTTTGTTTATGATTTCTTATAGGAGGTTAATTTCTCAAGGGGGGATGCCTGTCAGCTTTGGAATCCTTATTCATCGCTGCCACATAGTTTGAGAAAGCAGGAGGGGGTGATTTTTATTGAGCAGCTCTAACTAGACAAAATAGAATTCTTTTGTTAGTTCAAGGTCATAGAATGTGGCTCAGAGACAAAAAGGAACTTACTTTGGGATTGGTTCATGTGATATGATGATGAGAGAAAAGGGGATGGTTTGTAGTTTGGGACATTGTGGGAAGTCTGGGAAACTTTTAGTTTTGAAATTCCACAGATGTGGCAGGTACTTTTGAGATTATGTTTGTCTCGGAGTTACTGATTGGAATGGAAGTTCCTCGGAACACTGACATGTAACACCCCAGTGGGGTGTTAAAAGCAGTTTTCCACTCATCCCCTTTCCTAATTCTGATGCAGTAGTATGCCTCTTGTAAATCTAATTTTGAAAAAAAAAATTTTTTTCCACGCTGATGGTGTTCAGGTTACAGAAATCCACACAGAGTCGTAGGGTGCCATCTTTCTTTTAGAACAATACTGGGGCTGCTATTTTTGGTTGGGTGGGTTCGATGAAACCCCTTTTTAGATTTTTGTCAATAAATGCTCTGAGTTCATTTAGTTCTCTAGTACATTTTTGGTTTTGAAAGTTTAGCTCCCAGCAGGATCTCAATGGCACAACCTGTGGCACGATGAAGCAGGAGTTCATTTTTAGTTTGAATTTAGTTTACTTTATTGTCATTGCACCTCGTACAATGAAATCAAACACCATCTTCATGACCATGACCATGAAAATAAACACAAATACACATCCTTCACTCTTCACATATTGAACCAGAAATCCCCGACACCACACCAACATTGCACTATACAGCAGAATTCAAAAGAGCTACTGCCCTGGGATAGAAGCTGTTTTTCAGCCTATTTGTCCTTGTTTTAATTATTCTGTACCATCTGCCAGATGGTAATAGTTCAGAAAAAGGGTTCCCAGGATGAGATGGATCTTCGAGAATGTTTTGAACTTTCTTAAGGCAGCAGAAGCTGGGCTCCTGGTCAAAATGCCAAGAACAAAGGATTGAGTAATCCTTGATTGAGTTTTATACATTTTCACTAAAGGAGAAGGTGGGACAAAGTGAGATAATAAGAAATATCATCTAATAAACATTTTAGGAATAATTCTACAATTTGTTCTGTTGGTCTCTAGCTGTCCCTATTCCCAAGTCTTGGCTAACAAAAGCCCTAGGAATTATCTAATATACATTTGATTTGCTGAAGCCCCAACTTTAAGCTGAGGTCTGCAAGTTGCTACTTTTATCAGCTTTCCAATTAGCCAGGATTGTTACAAGATTTACACATGCATATCTCCTATAGATAAGCATTCTTTGTTCTTGCCAGACAGACTCCACAATTACAGGCTTCCTAATTTACTTTGAAGTATGTGCCATAACCTGGCTTTATTTTAGCAGATGGCCCATCAATCTGGCTAGCATCCTGTCAATGTGTGAGAGAGCTGAGGGCTGTTTGGAAACTGAAACAGTATTTGCTGTGTGAGCAAGAAGGAGACAGCAAGGAGCCTGGGCATGGTTTAGCTCAACTGTTCTATACTAAAGCTGCTTGGTGCTGTGAAATTGAAATTGAAACTTCTCTGCTTGTGTTTTGCATTTGGAACAGATTTCTTTTCAGGTGGGGAGGGGCAGTGGAAGTCCTTAGTATTGAAGCATGTTAATAATAATATATAAAATACTAATGCTGTGATGGCCATTTTGAAAAACCCTTTCTTAGTGAGCACCTAGAAGCCAAGAGGAACATACCTGCCAAATTTCAAGTTTGTAGGCTTTATGGTTCTGGAGATTTTGTGATGATGCATGAGTTGGTTTTCGCTTTTATATATATAGATTAGATGCTCCTATGTTTTTATGGCATAGGTAATACATTTGCAGAGATAAATCATAGAAAAACGCAGCCAAAACAAGGGGACATAAACGATGCAAACAGCTTACTAAAGGGTAAAAAAGGAACAACCACGTGAAATACCTTTTCCCTGAATATCAAACCAATCCCCAGGAGGAAATGTCTGACCCTGTATATTTAGTCATTATATTATTATGATACCATTAATATACTTTGATGTTTAGAAGATTAAAATTCAGCTAACATGTATGAAGTATTTATTTATGCCTATCTTCATTTGTATGTCACATTCTGTGGAAACTAAATAGTGTTGTGTGATCAAACCTAAGACTCTTTATCTCTCAGCAAACTGGTCACTCTAATATCATCCATGAGCTGTTTCACAGAGGTCATAAGTAAGAATAAATTGTCCGTGTCCAATTTTGCACCTGGAAGCAAAAGGGCAATTTTAACTGGGTTAATTAAAGCTTCCATACCTCACTAATCAGTTCCAGGCCCATTTCACTTATTGATTTGGATTCCACACAGTCCCCTGGGTGCTTACTTTAATATTAAAACAGTAAGACTTTCTGTATTATACTTCTAATTGGGATTATACGTAATCTGCACAAAGTTTCTATTTACCTGACATAAACTGTGTTGATCCATATTTAACTATCTCTTGGTAAGATATGATAAGGATCACAGATTTAGTAATTTTGTATCTTTAACCTTATTTTTTATCCTTATAATTCTACTTTATGGGATAATATTGATATTTTAAGTATCAAAAAATACAGTAATTTACTATGGTTTTGGACCCTGAACCCATATTCAACGTTCACCTGATTGCTTTAAGTTAATTAAAATGTACATTTGTATCTATGTATAATTTCAGATATATCAATATATAGAAGAATTCCATCAGTGTGCTTGAAACATCGATACTCAGAAAATGCTTAAAATAATGACGAGAATCTCTTGCATGTCACTTTACAGCATTGCAATTCCATTTTTACTTCACAGAATTGTATGTACTTGTCAAGCATTATAGATTATGGATCATCTGAGTTTAAATGCTGTCAAATCTTTAATGTCTCATTTTATTCTAAAGAATTAGAGAAATCTCTAACCTTCATATAAGAAATTATTTATTTATTCAATTTTTAAACTGAGGAAGATCCTGATATAAGTACGCTGTACAGTGGTAGAAAATGAATGCCCCACACCAATCATAAAAAATTGTGCTGGAGTATCTTCTTTTCTATTTTCTTTAAAGAAAAAGGCAAGTTCTTTCTCGAGCCATTGTATAAATTCCTTCTCCTTTAGGATAGTATTATTTAACGTCCATCTCGATCTTTTTTTTTTTGGCCCTTCCATTTGATTGTCAATGGGTTGTGATCTGCCCAAGTACTTGCTTCAATGTTTATTTCTTGAATACTAGATATTAATTCCGTTGAGATCCAGATCATATCTAATCTGGACCATGATAGGTGTCTATTTGAATAAAAAGTATATTGTTTGGTTTTAGCGTTTCTTTCTCTCCATATATCTTTTAAAATTAATTCGTCTGTCATTTTAAAAAAGGATTTAGGAAGTACCTTTCTATTATGTTTTGCTGTTGTTGCTATATAGTCTAATTTATTGTCCACAATTCCGTTAAAATCTCCCAATATAATTATATTGGCATAGTCCAATCCAGTTATTTTCATATGTAATTTTTTATAAAATTCTTCTTGTTTATCATTCGGGGCGTAAATTGCAATCAAAAGTGTTTTTATATTATTATCCATCATTTCCACCATTAATATTCTTCCATCTTCATCAGTGTAGATCAGTTTTGCGGGGATAGCCTCTTTAATATATAAGACCACTCCTCTTTTCTTACATTGAGTCAAAGAAGTAAATAATTTCCCTAATTTTGGCTGCACTAACAATTGTTCATGCTGTTTTTTAATGTGTACTTCTTGTAA